ATCGACTCTCTGCCTTACCCTTCTGGACTCGCTCCATTCGTCTCCGGGCTCTGGACATCCAGGCAGTGAGCGTACCCTCTCGCTTCTCCAAAGAAGGTACTGCTGTCTGACTTCCATCAGCTCCACCCAGATAAACCAGCACCCAGAGGACGCAGCCATCCTCGTCGCCGGCAGCAGGCGTCAGGAGCTGCCCGTGGAGGAGGGGGTACTATCAGGGAACCACCAGCCTCATCAGGTCCCAGCACTCATACTGCACGATCACAGTCACCTGAGTTCTGATTCCCCACACCTGTCACCACATAATCAAGACCAGTATAAAGCCACCTTCACTCCTCACCATCTTTTGTCTGGTCTTGAAGTTGCTACCACAGACTTACCTGACTCTATCACCATCGGATTCTTACCTACCGATCCCGATCTTCTTCATCCTCTGCTAACCACGTCTTGGGAAACCTGTGAAAAGGAGAAAGAGCCTGTTAGCTCACCAAGCTAAGTTGACGATAGCACCAGTAAAGTAGAGACTCACCTGCTGACTCTCCATTCCTCTGCACCCCATTCCTGTTGCTAATAAATACCATTTCACTTACCAGTTATTCCATTTGTGGTCTCCTTCTGTTCGGTAACAATGACGTAACCAGTGTTGCCACCTACTCACGCAATGATGTAACCTCTGAATATCCTCACCACTAATGCACAGACTAGTCTGTTTGGAAGCTTATTTCAGATACGGAATAAAAAATGAAAACGTTTTATCTCACAAAAATTTTTTAAATTGTATGAATTGTAAAAAGTCACAATTACTTTTTATTTTTTTATTCCATGTATTTTTATTCCAAGCTTGTCTCAATTGTGAGTTTACGTGGAGTGTTACAAACAGTGACAAGTCCCAGTGGTATTGTTATTTCAGCACTTTTGGAAATTGGAGTGATTAGAAAAATGTGGATTACAGTATATTGTCACGGGATTGAAGTAAGCAGTTGTTTATATTCTCTTGTGTTGTGTTTGACATGATCAGATGGACAAACATGATCCTCCCAAATGTTTTTTAGAGCTACATTATGTTACCTGTGGTTTTATTTCATCTTTATCCATAGAAAGTTGCTTGTGTAAGGATAAATGTTCTGTTCATTGATTTTATTCATTTACCTGATGACTATATTTAGCTATTTATGTATTTGTTGGTTTGCTTTTTTTACCCTCAATCATAATGCTGCACTTTGTTAGTCATTTGATACATAATTCATTTATGCAACATGTATATGTGTTGAAGCAAGTCAATTGAATTTTCTGGCTCAAGGGCAACGGCTCAGCAGACTTTCTTCTGTGTTGAATCCAGGCGAATTAATTTCAGTGATGGCAGAAAAAATAAATAAACAGATGGATGCTGGTGGTGATCGTGGGTGGAGTAGTAACAAGGGGAGAGGGGCCTTTAAAGTTGGTTAGCAAGTGAAGAGAAGTTTTCAAGGGTGTTGTAGGGCTCTATAATGTGCAATGACTTTCTGTATATTTTACCAAAAATCTAAGCCAACTTCCTGTTAATGCCCCCAAAAGGAACATTTGGACCCTGGCCCAGTTTCTAAAATACAAACAAAGCAAAAATAACTAAATAAATAGGGTTGCATGTAGTTCAAGTATGCTGTAATGCTATGCAGTCAGGATTACACGCACTTAAGAATTGTATCCATTTTTGTGACTGGAGTATAAAAAGCATCTCATCCCGACAGCAATTTGCATTCAAATAAGAGCTCAGTTTGTCAGTGTATGAAATTCACAATCAACATCATGCTTCATTTACTTTCCCGTCAGGGGGATTGTATGGTGAATGAAAGCTGTGCAAGGTATGGAATGAACATGTCTGCATCCATGCTGTTAGCATATAAATTCTGCTAGGCCTCCTATCTGCTCCATTATAGCAATTGTTGAGAGGTTCATAGGTCATGTAACATTTCTCTTGTTGCTTTTACAACACTGGACATGTTACATCATGTTTATTTGGTGTAGTGTAGTGGTAGGGCAAACCTAGAAATGGCAGTTCATGAAATGTAGAGATGCTGACCTGTCACAAGAGACTTATGCAAGTAACAATGAATTGCTTTAGATCTGCTAAATTACAAAGATCTTATTACAGTAATTAATCCAAAGTGAACAGGTATTCAAAAATGTTTTTAATAGTATCATTAATTTAAAAAGTAAATTTATTAAAAAGTATTTAATTATCAATTTATTATAATTAATTTAAACGTATTGCCTTTAAATAGGTACTTATAATACTTCATTTTAATCAAATAGGCATGTATTTTTGAATAATAATTTGACTCTTTGTTTTAAACATGTTGGCATTTTCTGAAAAATATTATGTGATATGAAATGGCAATAGAAACAGAAAACAGTTTGATATTAGCCAACAAATACAAGATGGATGATCTCAGGATTTGTAGAAAGAAAAATAGTTTCACCTCCTTGAAGGTCTTTTTGTTATTCCTCCACATTTCCCATGAAAATCTCTGGAAATCTCTTAAATGTTGTCACTTTATCTTTTGCAGTGAGCTTGCGTCATTTTTATTAAGCGACAGTAACAAGACCCACTTTCACAAAATTAAAAGGGCTCCATAGCAAATATTGTTTTTATGTACTGTATCATTTTTGGTGCTCGACTTTACTTGCAGAGATGGATAAAGACAGATAAATGGTACATTTGTTAAGATAATTGTCTTCTTGTTTTAAAATGATCTTATCTTTTCATTTTAAAACAAACTTTATGATTAACATTTTTGTTGCATTCATTTGTAATATCTGGCTACATGTAAAATCTTCCATTCATCTTTTTTTACTGATATGATCTCATTCTGAACTAATTAAACAGGAATACACATTAGACACTATTACATTTGTATAATGTCTGCGTAATTTTTACTATATTGCCGCTCAGGGATAGAAGATTGAGTGTATATGTTAATAGAAATAATGCAAAAAGAAGAACCGAATATATGACTTGCAGATTTAGCACATTTTTGGGAGGGGTAGTAATTTCCATTCCAAAGGGCTTGAAGCATTTTAATGAAGCCTGGATTAATTGAATTAGACCTGATCTATGAGGTAATGACAGCATCCATATGTTACATCTTGTTTTGGGATGAAACGGGATGGAATAGCTTATGTCAAACCAGCCATGACTTTTCATTCACATGGAGTTGTTTAATACATAAATCTTAAAATGACCTCATGAAATATGCACATAGATTCTCTATTGAAATTTGAAACTCCTTGATGGTAGCTTGACCTTTGTTATAAATGTGGTGAATCAATAACTATGTGGTCAATTTATTAAACATTTATTGTTTAATTTATCTTAATATACTTCCATATAAGAACCTTTTTTCTTAGTGTGAGGAACATTCTAAAAATCTAAAGAATCTTTTTCCTCTCTAAAGAAACTTTAGTGCAATTTAAAGGTTCCGTGAATGTTCAAGGTTCTTCATGGAGCAATCAATGCCAATAAAGAACCTTTCATTTTAAGAGGGTTGTTCTAGTCAACATTCGCGTGAAGACTGTGGCATAGGTTGATCATTTCCCCTCTGCAGTGGAAGCAAGCACTTCAATGCCATCTCAAGGTCATTTGTGAAACTGCTGTTGAACTGATTTCTTCATGCCAACACAGCTTCAGTTGCTAATTAAACAGATAAAAGCTATTTAATGCATTTGTGTTGCTTCCTTCATAGGTTCTTAGAGGACCAAATGCATTTCAAATAAACGTCAAATGAAAAAACAACTAAAGTAATTAGCATTGACATTCATTCACACTTTTATAGCACTGTTATATTTTCTTTTTTGTCACAAACTATTAGGCAGTGCATATTTACCCTTTGAGACTGTGTTGATCTTATTTTTAATTAGTAACAATACAACATAATTGAAAATGCATGAACATTACATCTTTGGGCAATGCAGCCACAGCTTATTGCGAATAAAAGAGGGGTAATGATGTAATTCTGCCACTTTTGAAAGAAAGAAAATGCAGCATAAAATTCTGAAATACTGAATTAATCATTCAGTATGAAAAATTAGGTGGTTTGTGTCTGACAGGCACCCATGTCATCTGAACCTTGCAATGTTCAACAGGTAGAATACAAGAGTTCCAGCATACCTTAATGAACCGCACAATGGTCAACGTCATCCTTTTGACATTTTTGCCTCTGTACTGCCATTTAGCAGAAGCACTGCCATTTTTCAACCAAAGCAGCTTATTATACATAATTGTAGGGAGTTGGCTGCCCTGTACTTTTCATTTCAAACAGTTATGCACCCTTTGTTCTGAACTATCATCTCTGAATGATTATGGTAAAATTTGGATGCTCTGAGTACAGAATAGTCTAACTCTCCATGTCATTTATGCATAGCAGGTGCAAGAACATGTTGAGCACGTCCCTCCAGGGTCCACACAGTAGTCTATAGATTTAGGGGTGATGTAACATGAGTTGTAAGGCTCTCAGTGTCCTCAGTTATACATTTTGTGGTAAGAAGTAAAAATGAATATCTGGCATATTCTATTTTGATGAATGTACAATGACAGAGCTGGTAACAAAAGGCTATCAGCATGTCAACTACTGCAACTTATACCCGATAGATATTGAAATAGTAGCCTATATAAAATTTGCAAAAATAGCAAAATACACAGAGATAGATTCATAGAAGCAAAAGGACGCTCCTCTACGTGTTCTTTCCGTCAGGTTATAAACCTTATTATATGAACAGCAGAAATGTGTGCATTTTGTCTCTGTCTGCTAATAGTGATACATTACTGATCTATTTTTTAACTCCACCCTACACCACTCTCTCTGACACACCTGCCAGATCTCTGAAGGAGGGAAATTTTGTGGAGCAGATCGGCTGTACCACTCCAGCCGTTCAATGACTGCAGGGCAGCGCGCCCATCTCAGACGTTATCAGCACAGCAGATTTATTGCGACAGAAAAGATTTAGGAGATTTTTTTCCCGGCGTGTTTCGGCAAGAGACACAAGTGAAGGGGGACTCCATTTTTAAGACGCTATAAATCTGTCCGGGTGCATTCGGCAAGGACTTTAAATGCAACACACCCTTGGGCGCGCGGCGGAGAACGCCTGTTACGCACGAGGCGAGCGCGAGACGGGGGCATTTCCGAACAAATCTGTTAAATGGTTGAACTTTAAAAAATACGACAGTGGCTTTTGGAACAAGCATTTCACCTGATGGATCTTCAAAAACTCTACTGCGGTGGCAATGGGGCTGTCACATGCCAACGGGACCGAGAGGAGATAACTGGGGCAACTGAAAATGTCGTTGTTTTTCTTCTGAATTAGTCTGTTCAGCATACTACATATGAGACTAACGACAACCATAACCCCGAAAGAGAAAATTTCACAACACTGGCATTATAAACGCCCTGAGACTTTGTGAATTAAGAAACAGTGTCTTTGAGGAGGTGAGTGGATTTCATAGGATGTCTTTGCCTATATATGCAGGTATGGAGTCCCTTACCAAAAAGAAGTATACTTCAAGTTTATTTTATTAAGTATACTTTATGTAGTAAGTATACAAATATCAGTGTACTAGTAGTATACTTGTAAGTGTACTATTTCAATACTCCTTTGGGACTAAATTGGCCCACTTTTTTGTATATAAAAGTATACTTTTAAGTATAACAGTAGTAAACTTTGAGTACACAACTAGTTTACATCAAAATGTTTAGTTTGTACTGCAACTATACTAAAAGTGAACTTATAGGTATACTGATAGTTTACTAATTAAATACTTGTAGTAGCATTTT